TCTCATCCATGGAGGCGCGTAGTTGTGATCAATGTTGAAATAAGAATCGACATCATAGCACTCAGGACACGAGCATCAAACAGTTCGTTAGTTTAGTTAAGATAGAGGTGTGGCGAGGAAGAGACGAAAAGCAGGTGAAGAAGGAGAAGAAGAAGAAGAAGAAGAAGAAGAAGAAGAAGAAGAAAAGAAGAAGAAGAAGAAGAAAAAGCAGAACAAGAAGAAGAAGAAGAAGAAGAAGAAAAGAAGAAGAAGAAGAAGAAAAAGCAGAACAAGAAGAAGAAGAAAAGAAGAAGAAGAAGAAGAAGAAGAAGAAGAAGAAGAAGAAGAAGAAGAAGAAGAAGAAGAAGAAGAAGAAGAAGAAGAAGAAGAAGAAGAAGAAGAAGAAGAAGAAGAAGAAGGAGAAGAAGAAGAAGAAGAAGAAGAAGAAGAAGAAGAAGAAGAAGAAGAAGAAGAAGAAGAAGAAGAAAAGAAGTAGAAGAAGAAGAAGAAGAAGAAGAAGAAGAAGAAGAAGAAGAAGAAGAAGAAGAAGAAGAAGAAGAAGAAGAAGAAGAAGGAGGAGGAGGAGGAGAAGAAGAAATAAGAAGAAAGAAGAGGAGAATAAGAAAAAGAAAGAATAATAAAGAAGAAGAAAGAAGTAGAATTTATTGTCAGAGAGAGAGAGAGAGAGAGAGAGAGAGAGAGAGAGAGAGAGAGAGAGAGAGATAGAGAGAGAGGAGGGGCGGAGAGAGAGAGAGAGAGACTATAAACGAGAAATGTATAAGCCCCAAAATAATATCCAAAAGTGTTGGCATTCAACGTTCAGCCATCTTTATGAATTATTTAACCATTTCCATTGGAGACTTGGACCTTCCTGAAAACATATCCCAGGCAACGATTGGCTGGAACGAACTGCTATAGTCAACGATGAGCGTCGGTTGCTCTCCCCTATGGAATTTGAGGGTACCTCCCCTGGTTCTGGGTGGACGGGGTCCCTGGGTTGGTGGGTGGATGTGTCTGCTCTAAATAATTGCTCCACCGAACCTACTGCAATTTGCCTTTCCCCCATATGTCGATACGAACTTTGACATTTATATGGGTTTTTTTCTCTAGGACAATGGCATTGCTGCGTACCGAGCAAATTTGCAGTTGTTTCCATTGGCTGGGTCGAGGGGGGAGTGATGTTTTCTGAGTGCCACTAGGTTAGGAAACATAGTTATCTTTCTCCATTGTTCACGATTCTCTTCTTTTTGTACAATGCCTTTTCAGCTTTAGAAGCAAGGCTATGTAATGATTTAGTTTGTCAGTATTTGTATGTGTTGTATTATATCATCTTTTATTGTTGTCTCTAGTTTTATTCTTCTTACCTTGTCTATTTATCTGCCTTGTTTAGTTGCTTCTCTTTCTCTGTGTCTATCATTAGTTTGCATTTTGTCCTCTTTCTGTATGCTTTGTGTGTCATTTTGTCTGTATCCTGTCAATAAAAAAAAATAATTAAGTGGGTAAGTAGTTATGAATATAGGTCGGTAGGCAGGTAGGTATATAAGGAGGTAGCTGGGTGGTGGGTAGGCAGATAGGTTAGGTGTGTAAGTGTGTAGGTGAGCAGGTACCTACATAGGTAATTGTGTGGTGGGTAGGTAAGTATGTAGGTAGGCAGGAACGTACAAAAACAATTAGATGAGTAAGTAAGTAGAATAAAACCCGTAGAGTCACAAATAATATCTCCCCGTGTGAGTTCCAGGGCCCTATTTTGAGGAAAACAAGAATAGACGCACTACCTCCCCAACAAGCATGTCGTAGGAGTTGAATAATTGGGGGACTTCCTTCGAAATCGGAGTGCGTCAGCAAGGGACCACCAACTGCACACAAATAAGCCAGTAAAACGGACCTACACGCACAACTCAGACCCTGGCACAGAGCCAAAATTTTAAGAAACGAAAAAACAGGGATTTTCGTTGAAGCTTATAATCGGTGAACAAAGAAGAAGAAGTCAAGTATTACCAAAACTAGAATATGAACCTACAAAACAACCATACTTCCCAACCACCCAGACAAAGATCTGGCAGATTCACATCCTGGTTACAGTTTGAAACTTGAGTTCAAGCCAGGGACGCTAGCAGCTCTGCCGGAGCAGGGAATTACAACTTGCAAATGTCAAACTGGGGAGGCCGTGGGGCTGCCAGATACTGATAGCTGCCGATTAGGGTCCTGGATACATCCTTGTGGCTCTACATCTCCCAGGCTAAGGGACCCTGATGCCTGGCTGATTTAATCGGTGCTGTGTGAGCATCGGGGGGTTGCAGGAGGTGGAGGAGGAGGAGAGGAGGCAAGGAGACAGGAAAAAGAGGGGGGGGGGGGTGGAAACAGTAAACACTGCAGTAACACAAGAAACATTTTAGGATGTGTCTATCTCTACAAGCGTGGGTGTGCATGTGTGTGTGCGGGTGAGTGTGTGTGTGCGCGCGTGAGTGTGTGTGTATATGTGTGTGTGTGTTTAAAAAAGAGTGAATGCAGAAAGAGAAAC